TGAATATATAAAATTTTCTTCAACTGAAGAAGAAGCTTATGAAAATGTAAGTTTCTCCAATTTTTTTTTATCATCATTTGAATTTTTATGTTATTAATGAGTTAATTTGTAGTAATTTCTTTAAATTTACATAACTTGCTAGTATTGTCTTGAAAAGGATAAGTAATTTATTACAATGTCATATATCCTATTTTTCAGTTTATTATTGGTTTAACACTAACTGAATTCAATTTTATCGTTTTTAGTGAGTATTTTTCTTAAATATTAGAGCAATTTTAAAATTATTTTTCTAAATTAATTGTTTTTTTTCTTGAGTTTTATTTCTAAATTGAAATTTTTTTGGTTATAAGACTTTATTTATTTATTAAGAAAATTTTTAAAATCGGATTTATTAGTTATAGATTGTGAATACTATTTAAAAAAAATTTAATTCTTCATTAACAATATTTAAAATGCAATTTACTGGAGAGTTACATTTTCTTAATAAATACAATTACTACAGTTAATCATTATTAAAATTGACAGGCATTGGATGAAGAAAAGAAAGCTTTCCAAAGAAGTTCTAGTAAAGCTATTTACATGAATGTAGCCTCAAATGCCTTGAATAGATTACGCCATAGAAAAAATGAAAATGGTCCCAATAATAAAAAAGATGGAGTGACTTCAACCACAAATTCTAAAACTGTCAGCCATGAAGCAATGTTAAATGGTCCCCAAGCACAACGAGGAACTTTCAGTATCGAAAGGAAGAAGCCTCAATCTGTTCCTGATCTTAAAGGTAATTACTTGAATTTTAATGAAGAATGTGTATTTTGACTGTTTTTGTTTACTTTTGCTGTTATTTATTTATTTTTTAAACTATTATTTTCTATCATACATTCTATAAGTTATACAAAAATGTTGGATGCAATATTTTTATTTAATAAGAGATTTTTGTGAAGAGTTTTAATTTTGAGTAGGAATTTTCAGTTAATAAAATAATTAAGAAAACACAAAATATTTATTTATTGAGGATTACAAATATAATAGCTACATTTTTTTCAAATATTGAACACTTTGGTACAGTAATACCTTGATTAATGTGGTTAATGAATCTTCTGTATGTATTGCATATACCAAAATTGCACTAAAAAAAGTTAAAAATCTATGGGAATTTCTATGATAAGTTCGAAAAAAAATTAAAAAAAAAAAAAAAAAAAAAAAAATGTCCAAAAAAGTCGGTTTTTAAAAACTCAAAATACATTTAGATTTATTTCACTACCCTAAGTGATGAATTATTAAGAGTTTTTTTAAAAAGAAAATATGATTTAAATTATATTTCTTTTGAAAAGAAATTATTTAACATCAATTGAATAGTAGTAGTTTTTCTGAGGTACAGTCAAGTGCATAGTGAGTGTCTAACAATGATTTGGTAAGTGATGTCGTACAACACTCAACAGCCAGTCCCATCTGCTGCTTGCAGTGGAAGGAAGTGTCATGAAAGGTTTGCACATGCAAAAAATTGCTCATTCATCAAATTGTGTGCTGTATATCTAAAGGAATTGTATAAAAAAATTGTGTCTACTAATTAAAATAACATTTTTCAAAACCTGACTAATCAGTCGATTACTGTATTATGTGTAAATGCTATTATAAATAGAAGTATAGCATGCTATTTACTCTTCATATAATGCATTTATGTACATATCTTTTAGAATGAAATGCATTTATAATTATTATAAAATATAATAATTTGAAAGATTAGGTTTTGATCGTAAAAAACATTTTTCTTTTATTTATAATAATGTAGAAATTCTTAAATTACTGATGTTTAAAATTTAGGTATTGCTTTGTATGAACACCTTTCAACTTATATATTAATCAAAGAGCAGTTGAAGGAAAATGGATTTCCCCTTCCACATCCAACTGAATTGGGTAAAGCTGTTATAGAGGGTATTTATGCAAGCAAAACCCAGTTTTGTAATGATCGTAAGTATGGAAGATTGTTATACCTTAAAAATATTTTAAACATATATCGATAATTTTTATTTTATTTTTTATATTATAATTTTTCATGAATCATGCAAATCTCTGTAATTGCTGGAATAGTAATCATAGCATTTAACTATAAATTAAATTGCATTTTAATGTTACTCCAGGCATAATTTTTTATATATGATGGTTTATCTAATTAAAAACTACACAGTCATTTAATGGAGTGGTTGTTATAAAATTCATTTTCAATTATTAAAAACACTTTAAAATAACATGAAAAATGCATATATAGTATCCTCTTTTTAATGTGGCATGCAATAGTTGGCCACATTCTTTAATCTGGCACTGATCAAGCTTTCATTTTTGTATGGATTTAGACATTGTTGACTTTGATCACCAGGTGGTGACACAATGGTGCTTGTATTTTCATTAAATATGTACACAGACATATTTAATGTGCATATATATATTAAATACATTAATTGTTTGATTCGTATATTAATTAATTATTTACATTGAAAATGCTTTAATTGCTTAGATTTTTATCTAGTATGCCTATCTTTATTTTTTCTTATCTTATATTTGAGTCTTATCACTGATATTCCCCTTAAAACTACATTGATGCTTGGTAATCTGGTAAAATTGCTCATCAAGTTTTAATCTGTACATATATGTTAAACGCTTTAAACATTATGCATTTTAATGATTTAAATTTTTACCTAGAGTGCTTTATCTTTGATAAATCCCATTTAAAACTATATTGACTTTGATAATCTACCAAAATTGCTCATCCTGCATAGTCATGGTGCTGAATGTGGCAGATTAAACAGAGGTTAATGTTTAAATTGAATAAAAAATCACAGGGAGAATGACTGCTAGGTTTATTTGATTTGTCATGTCCATCATTGTGAAGCTGCTTTTTTTTAAAATTTATTAAGATAACTTATATATTTTGAAGAATATTAATTGGCTCAGTAACCTCCTTTAATCCAGCATTTGATAGTTTGGCTTATTATATAATTTGTCATGCAATAGTTTGTCCGATTCTATAATCTGGCACTGAATCCATCCTTAACCTTCATATTTTACCATATGCATTTGGGCAATTATTGACCTAGATTGTCAGATGGGGACACAATGCTGCATGCAAAATAGTAACATATTTTGTCAGATGCTTTGTCAGATACACAAGTCCAAAACATGTGTAAACACATTAAAGATGCACTTTTAGTCATTTAAATTTTTTGAATAATTCATATTTGATATCCTTTTTAAAATTATATTGATAATCTAGTATATTTGTGGTCCCAAATGCACTAGATTAAAAAAAAGTTACTTTAGAAGGAATTAATAGAATAAATGAAAGTTCACCAAATTTTGTCAAACATAAAATAGTTTACCGTATATTCTATTAATTTCTAGTTGATATTTTCCAAATGTTGAACTATTTTTTACTTTAAATGCATTTAGTTGTAAAAATTGTTAAGTATTGTATATTTCCATATATAAGCTTAGTATTATTAGAAATTTTTTAAAACTGAAGTATGGGGGGTGGGGGGGAGTTTTATATGTGGCAAAAATTCCATTTGCCAGGAGCAAGTGATAATCCACCAAATATGGCTAAATAAAGCACATTTTTATTTCATTAGTTCATATAAAGTTTGCATTTTAATTAACCTAAATTTAAATATAATTTTTATTATATAAAAATGAGCTGTTTAATTTTTTAAATGGCTTATATGGCTGGTTTGTCACGGCGTTGTCAAAACAAAAAATCTGATGCCTTTGAAATTTTTGCCCAGCTAAAAGAAAAGTATCAGAAAATGTACACTAGAAATAATAGGATGTTGCAAATCAATGATGGATTTTTTTTTTTTTTTGGTGTGAACATTGTTTGAACTTTAGTAAACTTTTTAAAGAAAAAAAAGCAACCTCGGCTAAAACACAGATTGGCTTATATTGGAAAATATAAATATAACTATATTACTAATTATAAATATATTTATTAATTTCAATTAACATATTTATGTAATAAAATTATCTTTCTATGTTTTCATTAAACAAAATTAATCTTATGTTAAGAATTTCTTTTGATTTGTTATATTTTTCTCCCTTGTAGCTTTCAAACGCACATGCTGTCGATGTCAAAAAACATATTATGTTAATGTTGATGGCGATTATGTTCGTGATGAAGAATGTGACTTTCATTGGGGTCGATTGTGGAAAAAACGAGGTTGGCAAATTAATTTGCATTAATAATTTTAAATGTTACTTATTTTTAAATGTATTGTGATAATTTATATTTTTTACATGTGATTTATTTTAATAAATATTAATTTATATTACTTGTAAGATTTTATTTATAAAAGACACAATAGAAGTTGTTTAAATAAAATTCAAAGTATTTAAAGATTCTTTCACTATTGTAATACAAAAAGAAAATAATAAATTTTATAGTTATTCGATATTCATGTCTGAAAAAGGATACTTTGCAAAGTTAGATTTTAAATTAATTAAGAAATAAAAATTCTTATTCTGCTATTACCATTAATTTAATCATGTAAGATTTGTTCTTATCTGCATATTTTTTAAATTAATTTTTTTTAAATTTCCTCTTTCATTATGGAATATTATGGGATAATCAAGGGCACTAAATGGGATAAACATATGAACAAATGTTCGAACGTTTTATTTTATTAAAAAATACAGCAGCTTTCTAAATATGAAACTAATTATTTATATACTTATATTTATCATTATTTACATATATTATTCTATATTATCTACATGCATTTTACTAGAGAATTTTTATTTTAAATAAAAATTTTAAGTTTATTAATCAAAATACCACAAAGGATTAAAAGTTATTATAGTTGTTGACAACTGTGTTTTTTTTTTTTTTTTTTTTTTTTTTTTTTTTTTTAAGTTTTAATAATGTATTACGATTACTTAAAATATTTAGTATGACCTGTTTTTTTCATGTGTGAGAATAAATTGTATCTTCTTCTATATTTTGTGAAGAAGCCGACGGCCGTACCATGCTGAATATACCGGTTCTCGTTAGATCACCGAAGTCAAGCATCATTGGGCGCGGTCAGTACTTGGGTGGGTGACCACCTGGGAACACCGCGTGTCGTTGGTAAATTTGGGACCTGAATGACCGAGTGTCTAGTGCTCGGTGCCACAGGTTTCGGGTTCGAATCCCGGCGGTGCCATGGATGTTTGTAGTGGTTCGGAATCCACTTTAAGCTGTAGGTCCCAGTCTCCTATGACTGTAAGAGCGTCACGGAGCAAAAGTCAGGCTTCTACCTACGGGTGCTCCATCACAACAGAAGCTGCTTCCTTCCCCTTCAATTATGAGTACGTATGGGCTCGTGGGCTTAGCCAGCCAAGTGGGATAAGAAACAACAACAACATATATTGTGAAATTGTTTTTTTTTTTTTTTTTTATGATGCCTTTACACTCAAACTTAATGCCAAACAAGTGAAAAAATATGTATTTTCAATAAATAATTATAGACTTTTTCAGATTCTTTTTATAATAAAATTAATTTTTTTATGTTAAAATGCAGGAAAATGTTATATATTTTTTTCTTGAAGTTTTACAGACATGGTTAAAAGTTTTGCATTAATAAAATATCGGATTTGTATGTGATATTTTCCATTATTAGAATTCATGTAATATGTTTTTATGGTACATCAATTATTTTTAAATTTTTGCAGATTCAAAATATTAAATTTTTTAATGTTCAGAATTATCTGCTATTGATTTATATGTGGCTATCATGATGTGAAAATATTTATTGGATATTAGCACAGTTGCTACTTGTTTTTAATATTTACAAATTAAAAATTATATTAATTAACAAGCTGCTCAGAAATACATTATTTGCTTCTAATATTTGACTGACCATTCTTTTGACTTGATATAGATGCACACTTTTCTGTTACAAAACAACTGCATGAAAACAAAATGTTATGAAAAAAGCTCTAGCTTACAATAATTTCTATTCTTTTCAACTTATATATGGGTTTTGCACTTAAATAAGATTAATTTTTGAAAGAGACAGTGCACTTTCAATTTATACAGAAATCAGCTTATATTCAGAAATAAGTTAAGCAATATCAAATATCAATTGCTGAGTTTCAAATTGTTTTAAAATACAACCGTGCTGTTTTTCTTTTCTTTTTTGGATATTTGTCACCTAGAATATTTTTCTTGGCAAAAATTTTCTTTCCTGAAAACAACTTTAATGTTAAATTATTGAAGGAAAAAAAAAATAACACTATAGTAAAGAAAATATGTCCAGCATTATCGACCAATATTATTGCTTATCTAAATGGTAAATTAAACAGAGTACATACTTGATGATTTTTGAAAAAAAAATGGAAAAAAAAAAAAAAAAAATATATAAAATTATTTTACTTTCTATTATGTAGTTTGCTATAATTTTTTGTCTCTGGATCACATCTTAATATAATTGGAAATCTGTAAATGACAAGTGATGCATTTTTTTTTGTCCATAACTTATTTAAGTAAGTTGCAATATTTTTACAACTGTGCTTTATTGGTAAAATGCAGAATATCAAGATAATTTCCATTAGAGATAACGATCTTATAGCAGGATTTTCATGTTTTTTAAATATGCATGGTTTTTGTATAACTTTTTGTTTTTGGAAATCTTTTTATTGACTTGTGCTAAGAAATAAAATTTGTGTTATTGCAAAATAAAATGGCAATAAAATGTGTTTTGTAATGTTACTTAAGATAGTTTTGTTACTTATAGATATCCTATTATCTATTAAAAATTTTAATCTGCAATGCAACAGGTTGTAGTTCTGTAACTTTTGTTTTATAGTTGCTGGCACTCTTGAGAGTCGTTATACATGTTGTCAGGGAGATTCTGAGTCAGAGGGGTGCTGTGTTGGAGCTGTAAGATACAATTTATTATCTTGACGTGGCTTTTTTTACCTATTGCATCAAATAAATTTTAACTTTTTTTTCAGGGTCATGTATTTGAAGGTTCAGAAGCTCATGCATTAAAGGGATTCGTAAATACTCTTCCTAAAACACCACCTCCAGATGAATATTATGGAATTTATTCATTAGATTGTGAAATGGTAAGTGATTTATATTATTTATATTATTACACACTATTTGTGATCAGATATATTTATTATGACTCCAAGTTTTTAAATGTAGGGCTTGAATTCAATTAATAATTTTTTTAATGTTTTAAATTAGTTAATCATGTTTTTTATCATCATAATTATTCATGCCAAAATCAATTTATTTTAATCCTTCTCTTTCTCCTAGTGTTATACAACTGCTGGTGTTGAATTGACTAGGATCTCTGTCATTGATCCAGATTTAAAAACTGTTTATGAAACTTTTGTTAAACCTCACAATAAAGTTCTAGATTATAATACAAGGTAAATCATTATTATTTTTCTTTTTGTTTGTTCATAAATCTTGTGTCATAAAATGCTAGACAGTCATTTAATAATAACAAGACCTTTTATTTTATGGTTGATAGGCTTGGCAATGCTTGTTTTTATGTATTTTCTATTAAAATTTTGAAACTTTGTGTTGAGTTTTGCACAGTGAACTGCCCATATTTAATTTAAGATAGAGCATAAATGTACTCCAACTATGTATATAAAATTGTTTAGTTACTAAATGCAAATACTGCTCTTGATATTTTAATACTGTTAGTATCTTTTTACAATCTAAGAATCAAAGCTAGCTAACAAAATATTTTTGTACAGTGTGTATAATTTTAAAATTTTCAAGATTCAAACTATTAATTTTATACTATATCAAATCAAAATATTTCCATAATTGATATTCAATCTGATCAGGGAAAGGGGGGACGTAAAAAAAATTCATTATTAAGATTGCCACTAAGAAATTACATAGGAGATGTGATGGGCTTTTAAGTCCTCATACATTAGGGGTGCAAATATCTTTATTAAATTTTTTTACCATCATTAAATTTTAAAAATGTTACCTAACAAGAATTGGGCATTAAATTTCTTGTTTTATTATGAAAAACATTTTCTTAGACACTTCATTATAATTTGCACAAGTATTTCCTTGAACTGGGGTGGTTGTCACACAAGTTTTGATGAGCCATCACCTCAGTGGTTACTTTTTCACAGATCAAGTTGTGCTTAGGATGAGTGAGGCCAGGTGAGCCTCGAACTTCAACTTATTAAGTTTTTAGAGTGTGATGCTGGTTCTGATCTCAGCAATTTCTGATGCATAATATCAATTTGTTGACAGAAATATGCATTAAATGTTTGAGTTATACATGGGAAACTGTAATGTATAACTTCTGGTTGATTCCATCAAACTGTCATTGGATGTAAACTTGATTTGTGTGTGAGTTTAAGTTTTTTATCTGTAATCCAGCACTGAACTTATATGATTGTCATACTGTGATACTGTCCAACATGAAACACTTTTTTTTTTTGTTAAATACTCAATGGTGCGTAAATCTGCAAGTGTTACAATTTATGTTTATCTATCAGCTGTGGAACCCATTTGTCAAATTTTGTCACCTTTTCAAGTGCTGAAAGATGTCTTGAAACTATTGCTATGGCTATTTCAAGATTAACAGCAATTTCTCTGACAGTTACTGTTAACTTATCTTCAACTTTTGCCTACAGAATATCATTCAAGAGACCACTTTTAGAGACAGGGTTCATTTTCTAAGCTCATACCTCCTGATTTGAACTTCTCAAACCACTGTCTCACTTTAGATATGGTAACTGTATCATTTCCAAATACAGCATTAATGTTTCATATGTAGCAGAATGTCGAAATTTTATATTCATTCAGAAAAATTATCCGCATTTTGTGCATATCTCCATGTTTCTATTTGTTTAAGATTTTTTTAAAAATGTCAAAGCATATATTTAAACAAAATATACAGGACAGAGCACAAAATAATAATAAAAAAAATTACATGTGACTCTTATTTAACCAAATACTGGTAGATAATAAAAAGATAATTTCATATGAAACAATCCATTAGTAGAAAACACTTTATAATTGAGGGATTAGTTATTTCTTCTCTGTTTACAGAGTTAAAATTTCATACAAAATATGATTTTCATTAATGATGTATTGTTACTTTAAATAAATTGAAGTTTATTTATTCTGAATATTGCTATTGATTGAAAGGTTACACATAATTAATTGTTGTAGAGAATTTTACCTTAAATAATATTAATGTATTATTTTACCATAAATGATATATTAATGAAAATTTCTTGTTAAAAACATGGCTGTAAAAATAATTTTTTGGTTTGAATATCAGTTAGTCATTTTGAATTATATCAAATGAATAACATTGAGAATTGAAACTAAATTTAATTGATTAAAGTACAGCAAATAACGTTGGACTAGTGTTTGAATAATATTTATTTGTTTGGCTAGGGTTCATAGCTTATGTTGATTTTCAATTCAGATGAAGGTCCCATTATTAGGAATTAAATTTGTTTCATTAATTACATTCAACTCTTAAATCTAATTTATTTGTATTGCTGAAACAAAATAAGTTTTAAAATGAATTGTATCTATATTTCAATTTTAAATTAAGAATTCATTATTCAATTTATTTTTTCTTAAAGGTTTAGTGGTATCACTGAAGATAATTTGAAAAATGTAAGAACAACTATTCGAGATGTTCAAGCTGTTCTTTTATGTATGTTCAATGATAAAACTATTCTAATTGGCCACAGCTTAGAAAGTGATTTAAAAGCTTTGAAAGTAAGTGTTTTAATTGTTCCAATAAAAGAATAAGAAGTGTCTTAATTTATTTCCATTTTCAAAAATAATGTTTCATCAATTAATATAATTTTCTGTTAAATTAATGTCTTATAAGTTTTTGTATTTATATAAATTCATCCCTCAAGTTTTTGTATCGAATAACATTAGCCAACAATTATGCTCACCAGTGAGTTAAATAATTATATACAAAATTATTCTTATAAGTTTAAGCTATTAATTTTTGAAGTAATTTCATTTTTTTTTTTAATGTTAAGAAATAAAAACTAATAGTTTTTTTAAAAAAGAATTTATAATTCATTTTTTTCAAAAAGAAATCTTTATTGGCTCATTTTAAAATAA